CTGGCTCTCCTCCCGTTTCTCCGCGGGCTGGAGCTGCGGGCTGCACGCCGACTGGACCGAGCTCACCAACTGCGTGCCCGGAGTACTGGACCGCCGGGAGAGCGCTGCCGCCAAGACGCCCAGGTACCGGCCGAGCCCCGTTCCTTCCCTCCTTCCTTCTCTCCTTCCCTCCTTCCTTCCCCGCCGCCCCTCGGGCCGGACACCCTGTCGCCGCTGGCCCGGACCCTCCCGCTGTCGAGCCCCCCCTCCTCGTGTGTTGCAGCACGCTGCTAACGTGCTGTGCCCCAACCTGCCCCGAACTCTTCCTCAGCCGGTTCACCTGTCTTCCCCTCCCGCCCTCCAGGCTGTGCCCTGCACCTTCCCTCTGCATTCTCAGGCAAATAGAGGGCTTTTTCCCTCCCACGGTACCTCGTACGCACCACCCTCAGCCCATGCTCTTACGCTGTAGCAGCCTCTGCGGACCCCTCAGCAAGCCTCTGTGCTTGTGCCACTTACTCTTTTCTAAGCGTTGTACCATTCTCTCTAGTCTCCGGCTTGCCTTTGTCATCAGCTTTGCCCTCACCTGTCCTCCCTGAAATTGTGCTCCAGTGCAGCTGAGGAGAGGCACACCAGCTCATCTGTCCTCATGTTTGCCCCTTGTCCTACCCTCCTCGTCAGCCCGATAGTTTTCTGCATTATGCCAAAAAAATCCTTTAACCACTCTTTTCGTATGTTCCTTGCTTCTCATTTTGATGGGAGACCTGAGGTGAAATCCTCTAGTGAAAGGAGCTACCCTGTGCATGTGCCTTGTGTCTCCCTCACACCAGGCAAGGGGGGAGCGATCCTAAAGCACCCGGCGGTGCCTCCCCGTCGAACACCCCGTGTTTTTCTGTCCTCTGATTTCATTATGTCTCTGGTTTGTCCTCTGTAAATGATAAGCTTCAGAGGAATTTTTTGTTTGAAATATAAGCCGCTGCTGAAGACAGTGGCTTATATTAAGATCTCCAAATATTAAGCTCTTATTAGCTCGATACACCTTTGTTTCTTTCCTCTCAGGGAAGAGTTGTTTGTTTTTTTAACTGAGTGGTTTTCTACCACGATGCACACCTTGATATTCCAGTGGTTTTATTGCACTTTGTAATCTGTTTGCCTTCAAGTTTCATTCTTAAAGGTGTGCAAGATCTTATGCTAACATTTGCCTATGTCATATGCTTTATTTATATACATATTGTTAATACCATAAATAATCCATTTAGTGAAAAGTGGCCTTTAAGACTTACAGCGTGCTTTGGCATCCAAATTGGTTTTTCTCTTTGTTTTTAAAAGCAGTTGTTAATAATCATTGTTTCTTTGGAGCTGTGTGCAGTTGCTGGGGTTCTTTATTGTCTCTGTCATGATTGCTGCTCTTTTCAGTCCGTTTCAGTATTAGTGTTTCAGCTTAGATTGCTGCCTGACCCAGGAGCAGCAAAGTGAAGTATGTATCTAAAGAGCTGAGTATTCAGGCTTTCCAGTGGTCTCTATTTATTTATTAAGGTGTGTGAAACGTCCTCAGCCCGTCTGCCTGCTGATGAGATTTACTGCAGTGTTGGGAGGAAAAATGCAAGAAGTTCAAATCTGATTTTAAAAAGAAAGAAAAAGTTACCCATTCTGTGAACCTTGGCATTTGGCTAGCAAACCATTAACCTCCTAGAAAGCCCTGTGTGGTTTTATGAATTGTCTCAGAGCATTGTGTGCTTCCATTGGCATTTTTATACTAAAATCTGCTGTGTGTTCAGGATTTCACTCTCATCCTACTTAGCAGTTGGGGTGGGTTTTTTGTGCGTGTATGGGTACCTGAGGACAGCAACTTCAGGTTGTGAAGTAGTAATTGAATTCCTTCCTGCAACTCCTGAGAAGTTGAGAACCAGAAGCCTATTGCCTCATCTCAAATGCTTGCAAATAAGATTTTATTTTCCATTTGTTTTGAAACATCAGGAACCATATGTTTAATTGTCTTGATTTTGGATGTAGAGGAAAGATAATGAATCCTGTCCCATTCCCTCATGTCTCTGCATTGTCAGAAGTCGTTCTCTTTAATGTGGCCTCCTGGCTTACCTAAAATCCTGTTATTACTCCTAAAACACACAGCAGATAATATTAGAATCTGAGTCAAGATTACCTAAATTAGAACTTCATTTTCAGCAGTGTAAAAACTATGATGTGGAAGTTTTAGGTAGTCCAAGGTTTATTGCCTTGGTCTTCTAAACAAAATCCAGAATTTGCTGCTCATTGTATCCTGAGGATGGTTTTGGTGCAATGAAGAGCTACTGGTTATTTTAAAAATACTGTTCTGGGATACTGCTGTGTTGTGCTGCAGTCCAGTTTACTAGGCACCTTCTCCAAACCAATATTTATTTTGCATCTAAGAAAATTTGAATAAGAGATGGACAATGTTTTTTAAAATAAAAAATTAATATATTTTCCTTGTTAGGAAAAGGTTAGTCTTGTATTTTGTGTGTTACACTAAGAGCAATATAACTATTTCTCCATTGTGAATGTTGGTTCTCTTACATTGAAACAGGATATGTTTTTACATAAGGTATATGCTAGAGGGGGTACTGTCTTGTGATGGAACTGAATTATGAAAATTATCTTTCAAAAGGAAAAAGAAAAGAAAAAAGGAGCAAACAACTATTCTGGCAGGCTTGACTCTGGTTCTAATATTATCTGCTGTGTGTTTTGGAGTACAGTCTTCAAACTTAGCTTCTAAACCTAGTGTACTGGCCTCTGCATTTGCTACTTAATGTGAAATTCAAACCTTTGTTCTTCCAACTATGTGTTTATCCCCCATAACAAAACAGCTGACTTGTGATTACATATAAATCTGCCTTCTCGGGAATGTTGGAAAGCGTGAAGGTCATTCAGTATTGCCCACACGTACAAATCATGAGTTGAAAGCTGTTAACTTCCTAAGGAATGTAGTTTTATCACTGCACAGTGCCCTATTGCACTACATTCCATAACATGTGCATAGTACATAAATTTACAATGCAATTGCTCCTTTTATTATTCTGCTCTTCTGTATTAGACTTAATTAGGAACCCTAGACTCACTTCTGTTTCCCCTTTCCCCTTTCCCCTTTCCCCTTTCCCCTTTCCCCTTTCCCCTTTCCCCTTTCCCCTTTC